CCCTCCGCCCGAGGAAGACCAGGGCCCCGAAGAAAGCAAAACAACTTGCCAGATAGGGCGCCCGAGGTCCCGAGGCTGGAAGCTCCTGGACAGCTGAGCCCTTCACGCAAAGGGGCGAATGTGGTCGAAGAGCGCCTCGAAGCAGCCCGCGTGGGCCTCGATGCCAGAACTGCTCAGGCCGCCTGGATCAAGCGGGAGACCCAGTGCAACCAACGCAGAGATAGTGACCTTCGCCAATGCAACTGGGCGCGCAGGGGCGAGAACACCATGGGCCTGCACTCCAAGACCGTTGCCCCCGACCGTGAAATCCCCCAAATACTGCTGATCGGAGAACTGGCCTGACCCATATAGCGGACAGGTCCCCGACTGGCAGGCCGGAGATCACAGGCAAGCCAGAGCCCCCAACCAAGACCACCAATATGGTTATGGAAAACAGCCCCTCCGATGTGCTGGCTCATCCCGAAGAACGCGGAACGCGCAAGATGGGTGGGGGGTCGAGGATCGCCCCCCAAGTCAGCGAGTGCGCGCGCGCGACCGGCTCTTCTCCCATGGGGCTGCACTGTGCAGACAGCATCCTCCAGCGAGCCCTCAGAGAGTGGCTTCTCAAGCCTGAGTGCGATGAGACGAGTGGCGCCGGCCTGGCCCGGCCCCGAAGAATCTTGCGACGACGCGCCTTTCTCCACCCCCCCCCCCGACTTCGAACTCAGAGTCGGCGCGGGTCGATGAGCCTGACGAGATCACAACGCTTGAGTCATTCATCTGTGAATGTATAACCTCTGACGTGGACGCGAGCCTAGCATCTGTGTCGGTCACTACCCGGTGCATCGCCGCATCTTGGACGCGTTAGATCTCTGCGAAACGTTCCTCCCGACGAACTGCCATTCTCGCAAACTCCTCGGGCGTGCGATCGAAGTCAGCGCCGAGGGTCGACATGTGGCTCCTGGACAATTCAAACACAACTGCATGAGTGGCGAAGCCCTGCCGGATGACATCCCGGAGGCTCGCGATCTGGGTCGAGAGCGCGTCGATGCCCTCAGGAAGTGCCCGCGGGCCGCTGGGCGGAGGAGAAGATTGACTGGGCGCCGAAAGGATCTCATAGTCTGGCGGCGTGACGCGCGCCGCCGCTCCTGGCGCGGCGGGGGGGCGGGGCGGCATGGGGGAGAAGCGCCCGCGGCGGGCCGCGGGGGGGGGGGCCTCATAGGCCCGCGGGGCGGGTCGGGGGGGGGGGGGGGGGGGGGGGGGGGCAGGCCGAGCGGGTCGCGCAGACCGCCCCGAGCCGATGCGGCTTGAGCCACACTGTCCTCGGAGGAAGACGAGGGCGGGGGGGGGGGCCAGGCGCGCTCGCGTCACATGTCACGCCCCAACCGTCCCATCCCTTGCCGCGGCGTAAATCTCCTCTCTATTCGCGCAGTCGGATGTCGCAGCGTGGCGTAGGACTACGTGGCGCAGCGCGGCGTTGAAGATGAACGCGTAGCATGCCATGGCACGGCGCGGCGATGCCCAAAAATGCAGGGGGGCGGGGCGGAAGTGTGTGTGTGTGTGTGTGTCTGTGTCTGTGTCTGTGTCTGTCTCTGTGTCTGTGTGTGTGTGTGTGCGTGTGTGTGTGTGTGTGTGTGTTATTGTGTGTGTGCGTGTGCGTGTGTGTGCGTGCGTGCGTGCGTGTGCGTGTGTGTGTGTGTGTGTGTGTGTGTGTGTGTGGTGTTGTGTGTGTGTGTGTGTGTGTGTGTGTGTGTGTGTGTGTGCGTGCGTGTGTGTGTGTGCGCGTGTGCGTGCGCGTGTGCGTGCGCGCGGGGTGGGGTGGGGGTGGGGGTGGGGGGGGGGGGGGGGGGCGACGCGCAGCGTCGCGCAGCATGGGAGGGGGGGGGGGGGCTTCTGCGGCCCCAAGAATCAACGAATCGACGCCGAATGCGCTATCACTTCCGAGTGAATGCGTGCGTGTGCGCGTGTGTGTGTGTGTGTGTGGTGTGTGTGTGTGTGTGTGTGTTGTGTGTGTGTGTGTGTGTGTGTGTGTGTGGTGTGTGCGTGCGTGTGTGTGTGTGTGTGTTTGTGTATGTCTGCGTGTGCGTGCGCGCGCGTGTGTGCGTGTGTGCGTGCCCGCGCGAAGGGGGACGTTCACCCGATTTTGCGGCCTATCTGGAAGGGCCAGAAAGCACGCGCACACACACGCACGCACACACGCACACACACACACACACACGCACACACACACACATGCCGTGGACTGGAAATAACGACGCCAACGCGGCGGCGGCAACACGATTCGGAACGAGCGGGAGCGCGGCACTGGAGCCAGCGCTGCAGCGGGATCGCGATTCGGAGCGAGCAGAAGCGCCGAAATGAAACCAGCGCTGCAGCGGGAACACGATTCGGAACGAGCGGAAGCCCGAAGACAGCGCTGCAGTGGGAGCAGCATTTTTGAAACAAGCCCAAGCGGAAACCCATTTCCCGGGAATCCTGCGCGCAGCAAGCACCACGCGGAGGGGGTCGGAGGGCCAGGTATCTTCTGGCCGTCGCCAGGGGAGATCGGAGAGTAGCGTTCATATTGTGAAAATGTGGAGGAGGACGGCGACGAGGTTTGGCTTGGGTTGCGTTGGCCACGAAGGCGGCCCAAACTGCGCTGCCTCGAAACCTTCGCGGTCGGACTCACCAGGATCGTAATCTGCCCCTGCGGGTGACAGCTGCGCGCGCGGTGCCGTTAGGCCAAACGCTCGGAGCGCGACCTCCACCCCTCCCCAGCCACAGCGCCCCGTGGCGAATCGATGCGAGAGCGGACATCTTCAAACAATGCTGGAACAATCGCCGCCGGCGATGGCTGGGGCCACGCCTGCTACCACTCCTGCTGAACTCACGTTGGCGCCTCCCTCCGTCGACTCCTCCTTCCCGATTCTGAAATCTGATTTCCTCTGGCCGCCCCAACCGAGGGCCTGGTGCAATTTCTCATTCGGCGTGAGAGGGGTCTCCTGCGCGCGCAATACGTGAGGCTGAACGCCTGCCCACTCTGATCGCTCAAGGTATAAAAAGGGCGCCCCTGGTCTGCGCGCCGGTCGATGACCGCTGCGCCCGCCCCCCGAGCTATTCGCGTTCACCGTGAATACGCACGAGCAGTCCGCGCCCGCGGCGGGCTGCGCGGCCGCTGCCAACGTTGCGCGCTGCGAAGTTTCTAGCTCAGCGCACTCGACATCATCTGGGCAACGTTTCTCCAGGAGGAATGCCATTGTCCAGAGCAGCACTCACGCCGCCGCCAGCGCCTGCCCTCCCGCGTTCAGGCCGTTGCTTGGTGGCCAGTGCGGGCCTCCTCTAACAGATGAGGTCGGCGCTGCCTGCCCAGCCAACCCAGCAAAAACGTGGGACGTTGATTGCTTGCGCAGGACTGAGAAATCAACCTTTTCCGCCGCTTGAAAATTGGCCACCCGCAAGACTGTCAGCGCACGCGCCGCCAGCCAACGCCAGCACACCCATCGCCTCCACGCCGTAGTCGCGATCCATCCTGCCGGCACTGCCTCCCGAGAAAAAGTGTCACTTTTGCTCGTTCGCCGATCTGTCAGCACTGGAAAACCGTCAGAAATAATTTGCCACTCGGAGCCATCCACCGATCGGTCCGCACTGGAAGTACCGCTCGACAAATGCCCACCCACACGCCTGTCGGCGCCCGCGCCAGCAGCCTGTGCTGGCACGCCCAGCGCCTCCAAGCCGAAGTCGCGCTACGTCCTGTCAGCATTGCCACCAGAGATAAGGGCGCATTCCTGCTCGCTCAGCTCGTCAAAGACGTCGCGGTCGCTTGACTCCCAATGCCACCATGGGTCTCGTGGAACTGCCCCTTCGCCGCCTCCAGCTGCTCAGCACCAGCACCCGCCTCCCCGCGGAGTGCCGTGGCTGCCGTGGCGAGTGCCAGCTGCTTCGCCTCGACCTCGTGTGTTCCCAGGGGCCCCATGCCGATGTTATCGTCATCTCCTCCAACTGGGACGTCTGCGGTTGCGCCTGGCTGTGGCTGGCCCCACCAGCGGCTGCAGCAGGAGCAGCAGGAGGCAAAGCATTTACCTTGGCGCCCGCGGCCCGATGGTGCAGATGGAGTAGGACATCAAGGGCTGCGCGACCACCTGCCGTGAGTACCTTGAGCGGTCGTCCAGTTCGCTGAAGTGGGCCTTGTACAGCTGACCCTCCGCCTCCTCAAGGTCCATCTTTCCTTGCTCGAAGTGCCCGCTTGGGCTCCTCGAGCTTCTGGTCCAGTGCCGTCCTCCGCTGCTCGATCGCGTCGACCTTCGCACTGCCCTTCTGCGCCTTCTTCCTGGGACTCTCGACCTTCCAGTGCGCCGGCCGACTGCGCGGAAGCCACGGGCTGCTTCTCTGCTGCCGCCTTCGCCTTGGCCTCCACTGGCTCCCCCACCGCTGCGTCTCCTCTTCTCTTCTCAAGGATTCGGCCACCTGCTGGTCTGAGAGCTTGATTGATGCGGGAGGTGTTTCCCCGCTGCCTTGCCAGCTCCCGACCACGGCGATGAACCCTGCCCTCCTGAGAAGGAAAGCTTAGAAACGTGAGCCTGAAGGTTTTTTGAGCATCCGCATCTGGTCGTCTTGCGGTGGCGGCCCCTTCGCCCACGCGCGCCCCGGGGCCCGCCGAGAGCCCGACGGGACCCAGGCTGCTGCACCCTTCCTTGCCGCAGTGGCGACCTTGGACGGTGCCCCGGATACCCTTACACTTGACTCGCGATGCCCGGTTGTCCCAGCAGGCACGCTTGCACCCGAAAGTAGGATGCCTGTCATCTGGCACAAACATTGGGCGGGAGCCCCATACGCTGCGCGCAGCATTTGGGGCGAACGTGAAACAGCAATGGCTCGCCAGCACCAGCCGCTCTGAGGCACGCGCTCGCAAGCTCAGGCCCCAATCGCCTTCGCCAGAAAGGCCAGGATGGAGGACGAGGACGAGAAGGAAGACAAGGAGGACGAGGAGGAGGAGGAGGAGGAGGAGGAGGGCGAGGCGACAGGACGGCCGCTAAGCCCCGAGCTTGGTGGGAGGGGCCACCCACAGGCGCGTGGGCAGCTGGCCCCCGTGAGCCTTGGACGCGACAGGGTCCCGGGGGGGATATATTCTCCCTCCCCATTCCTCCTCTTCCTCCTGCTCCTCCTCATCCTCTTCTTCTTCCTTTTCTTGTTATTCCTCTTCATCATCATTCTCATCAGCAACACCACCACAACCATTATGAACACCATCCTCATGATCACCCTCCTCCTCCTCCTCATCCTCCTCCTCCTCCTCCTCCTCCTCCTCATCATCATCATCACCAACACCACCACCATCATCATCGCCATCACCATCATCACCATCGCCATTACCATAACCGGTGTCATGTTCTTCTTCAGCATCATCACCATCACAGCATCATCATTTGCATCATCACCATCACAGCATCAGCATCGGCACCAGCATCACCAGTATCATGACCAACATCACAACAATCATCACGAACGACATCAGCATCATAATGAGTTGCATCATCATCAGCATCATCATCACCATCACCATCATCATCATCATCATCATCAGCAGCATCAGCAGCATCAGCATCAGCATAATCATCATCAGCAGCAGCATCATCTCTTCCTCCCTCCCATTATTCCCCCTCCTTCTTCTTCTCCTTCTCTCCTCCCCGTCTTCCTCCTCTCTCCTTCTTTCCTTCTCCTTCTCCTTCTCTCCTCCTCCTCCTCTTCCTCTTCCTCCTCATCCTCGAGGGTCGTGCGACGGGATCTACACGTATCCACCGCACCTGGCCTAGTCTCTCCTGGCCAAGCCAGGGAAGCATATACATCCCTCCTCGGCTCAGATCAGGCCTCAGGGGCGATGGATATGTATAGATCTTGTCGGCCGAGGGGGATGGTGAACATGCGGAAAACAGGGGAGGCTCGATTGAAGATGTGGGAGATCGAATGGTCGAGGGATGTGATGGGGAAGGGCAGGATGTGGGGTGGATCGAGGAAAGGAAGGATGCCAATGGGGAAGCAGAGAGGGGGGCCAGAGAGAGGGAGAAATCGCGCAAGTAGGAAGCGCGGAACGGGGGGAAACAAGAAGATGAGACATGGTCACCTCTTGATATTCCTTCTCCTCCTTCTCCTCCTCTTCCTCCTCCTCCTGCTCGTGCTCCTTCTCCTCTTCCTCCTCCTCCTCCTCCTTTTTCTCCCGACCCTCCGTACAAGTCTCCCGCCCGCTGCCGTAACAATGCCATGCTTTGACATGGGAAACTCTGCCAGCGCACAAAGCGCAGCACCGCGCCAGCGCTGCCCACTGGCTTGAGGGGGGGCAACGATCGGGCCGGGTGAAAGGGGGGGATAGCAAAGGGGGGGTTTGAGAATCAGCTCGCGTAGCTGATTTTCCCAGCGCCTCCCGGCGCCAGGAGGCGCCCATCTATCGAGGAATGGGCCCCTCGGTGGGGCCGAAACCAGCTGCATGCAGCAAATTTCGTACCCCCCCCTTTCCCAATCCCCCCCCTTTCGTTCGGCCCGAAACGGACGGGGGGGGCGAGAAAGGTGCACATGTCGTGCACGGTCGGGGCCTCAATTTGGGCCTCTCTCCTGCAGCCCTGCAGCCCCCCGCGACACCTAACGCAAGTCTTCCCGGCCCCCCCCCCGCGCCCCCCAATCTCAATGTTCGGTTGCGCGCGCGGCGCGGTCCGCGGACGCCGACGAAAAAATCCAAAGCAGCGCGCTTCGGCATCAACACTGAAATTTTGGGGCCCGAAGGGCGCCGACGCGGCGCGGGCAACAAAAAGAGAGGCCGCCCAGATGGGGTCCGAGCAGATGGGGTCGGAGGACGTCGCCGCGTCGCCGATCCATCGGCGATGCAACGGCGGCGTCCGCGATGCATCGGCGACGTCGGCGTAGAGAAAATAGGAAATTGGGCACCACCTCGAGCCGCATCGCCCATGCATCGCCCATACATCGCCGATGCATTGCCGATGCATCGGCGATGCGGCGCGATCCTCCGACCCCATCTACTCGGACCCTATCTAGGAGGCCTAGAAGAAACTTGCTTCAGGTTTCGCGGGGGGGTGTAGGCCCCCCCCGCACGCAAATCGCCTCCGTCTCGTCACGAAACGTCCACCCAGGAGCTAACGCCATGCCGTCTGGCCGCGCTCCCGCCCAGCGGCCCGGCCGGGCGCTGCTCGCCCCGGGCTCTGGTGTTCCGGGCACCTGCTTCGCATACCCTAGATCCCCCGCCGTTTTGTCACCCTTTGCACTGTCTTCGCTGGACAAGTCGGGCGGGTCACCCGAAATCCAGTCGGCCAGCGTTAACGGGCTCATGTCAAGTTCCCCGCAGACAGACCTAACGGGGTGATCATCGATTGTGGACAGTGCAAAGCTTTCCACGCGGGTGCGCTCGCGCGCGTGGAGAATTCTGCACTGTCCACACTGGACAACGCGGGCGGGTGGCCCGAAATCCATTCGGCCGGTGGTATGGTCCGTTGAAATTTCACAGCGAACGAGGTGGCTTGCTGATGTGGGCAATACACAACTCTTCATGCGGGCACGCGCTCTCGCGTGGAGAAGTCTGTGCTGTCCACGCTAGACATGTCGGGCGGGTCATCCGAAACCATGTCGGCCAGAAGTGGGGGCTCCCTTTAGTGTCCGGGCCAACAAGGCAATTTTTTTAGTGTGGACCGCGCGCAAATGGCGTGTTCTGCATGGTCCACGCTTCGCGAGTCGGGCGGGTCACCCGAGAGCCGGTCGGCAACCGAGAAGAGGTCGCATTCATTCCCATGCCAACAGCACGACTTGTCTATGGTGGGCAATGCAGAACTCTCCATGCGGGCACGCGGGCGTGTGCGGGGGGGGCTCTGTGCATCCCCAGAAAGATTGGTTTCTTCATAGGCCTGGACATAATGCCTTCAGCCTTTGCGCCAGTGCGCATGGAATAAGCGCTGGCGGATCCACTTGGGCGTGTGCGGATTCGAATTTTGTTCGAATTGGAATTGCAATGGGTCAAAGTTCCCTCCGCGCGGATCCGGCTCTCGAATGTCGTGGGTCTGGTGATCTGATGGCCGACGCGTGTTTTCACGCGGACCCCCATGCTCAAGCGAAGGGCTTTGATTACGAACTGCCGAAGACAAGTCGCGCGATGTTTCGCGGGCCCCGTCGGCCCCCCCCCGCGCGCAGCTCGCGCTCAGCCTGAATGCATCTCTCCTCGCCCCCAGCTGCTGCGAACCTCTTGCCCGGGCGTCGCGCGTCTGGCGGCGACGGTGCTCTCTCGACAACCGCTTGTCGCCGCTGGCGCCTCAGAGGGAACAGCTGGCGTCCTGCGCAAGCATTGCCCGCGCTAACCAGGTCGGGCGGGTCACCCGAAGACTGCTCGGCCAACGCTATGGGTTCGCAAGGATCTCCAGGCCGACAAGGCGTTTCAACTGTATACGAGCCCGAACTCTCCACGAGGGCACGCACGGGCCAACGGAGAATTCTGCGGCGTCCACATTCGACGAGTCGGGCGGGTCACTCGAGACCAGCGCGGTCTCCGTCAAGGCATCGCTTTCGTGCCCAGGCCATCAGGGCGACTGTTCTGGCGTGGACGATGCACAACTTTCCACGCGGGCGCGCGAGCGCGGGGGGGGGGTTCTGCATTGCACGCGCTGGGCCAGTCAGGACGGCCACCTGACGCCCGCTCGGTCACTTCAGTTCCCAGTCCAACAAGGCCACGGCCCTGTTGTGGTCAATTCAGAACTTCCCACGCGATTGCGCTCGCGTGGGTGTTGCATAGTCCACGCTAGACACTGCGGGCGCCCACTCGGGACCACCTCTCCCACCATTGCGCGTCCGCGTTTAACGCCGTGTCATTTGTTAGGGAGACGCTCCTACTGGGAACAAGACAGAACCCCCCATTGTCGGCACTAGACGAATCCGGCGGGTCACCTGACATCCGCTCGGTGGCCGGGATGGATGTGTCTGAATGTCTTGGCCATCAGGCCACGCGGCACGCGCGCCCGGGATTCGGAATAGTCCACGCTTGCCGAGTCAGGCGGGCTACCCGACGCCCGCTCGATCGCCGCTAGGGGGCTCGCTGCTGTTGCTGAGCTGGCGGGGCGACCTTGCACTGGCTGGCGAAGCATACCTCCAGACGCGGGCGCGCGCGCGCCAGGGGGGGGGGGGGGGGCGCTGTCCGAGCTGGACAAGTCGGACGGGTCATCAGAAATCTGCTCGACCAACCTCGCGGGTTGATTTTAATTGCCAGGCCTGCAGGCCGACTTTCCTAGGTTCTATCGCTGGCAAAGCAAAGCTCTCCGCGCGGGCGCGCGCGCGGCGAGCCCCGCGCCCCCCGCGCTGGACAAGTTGGGTGACCACCGTTTCCGACCCGCTGAACTCCCAAGCCAGCAGGGCTCGATCAAATGCGAATGACAAAGAAATCCTCACGCGGGTGAGCGCGCTAGCCTGGAGAGCTCTGCCTTGCTACTCTGGGCAAGTCGGGCAGGTCGCCAGGCATCCGCTCGGCCGCCGTGATGGGTTCGCGTTAGCTCCCAAATCTACAACGCGAACTTTCACATGAAGGCGAGGCAGAATTCCGCGCGTGCCCGCGTGCCCGCGCGGAGAGTCCTGCATCTCCCGCGCTAGGCAAGCCGGGTGGGCCACCCGACATCCGATCGGACATCGTCCTGGGATTCGCTGTATTTTTCGAGCCAGCAGGGCGACCTGTCCAACGCATTCTACTACAGCAGCCCCGCGCGCGCACGCGCGCGCGGGAAGTCCAGCCAACGCTAGACACGTCAGCCGGGTCACCCGATATCCTTTCCTACAGCGTTACAAGCTAGCTTCAGCCTCCGTGCGAACAGATCGACGCTTTGAGCGCTAGATACGCAGAGTTTTCAACGCGGGCGCGCGTACGCTTGGAGAGCAATGGATTGTCCAATGGACAGGTCGGGCGGCTCGGCCGGCATTCGCTCGGTCGCCTCGAAAGGCTCTCACTGGCTTCCTGGCCAGCACGGCTGCGTCACCATGGTGGAGAACGCCGAATTTTCCACGTGGGTGCGCGCGGGCGTGGAGAGGGGCGCGGTCCAAGTGTGCCAGAATGTGGTGGTG